ATAAGTGTAATAAATATAATAATCTTAAGATACCTTGATAATCTTTGCATAAATTTCTTTATCTTCAATTGTACAAATAACTGGAGTAACCAAATCATTAAAACTTTTAAAAAAATTAGGCATAATTTTCTCACTATAGTAAAAGTCTGAAATGTAATCAATGAATTCATATTTCGGGTCAATAAAACTGGCTACGCCAAAAATTTTAAGCCAATCGAGTGAATCAGCCAGATGGTTGTGTCGAACCAGAAGTGGAATTGCTAGTGTCAAGATTTTATAAGTATCAGACGGGAGTGTTTCAGCAGTAACATTTTGTAACGTATCAAAAACAAGAGATGACTGGAATCCTATAGGTAATGAACAATATTGAGAATCTCTTTCTTTCACATAATACCCCAAAAGAACGCATAAGAAAAGTCTTTTTTCTAAGGATTTATCTTCAAGAAATGAATTCATTATAAAATCAATAGTTGTAGCAGCTTTCGTTGATTTCGGATAAAGATTCATAATCTTTTCATACTTCATAATCTTTTCTTTAAGGTTCTCAGGAGTCACAGAGTCATAAATGATTTTCACTAAATAAACATCTTTAATTTCCTTAAGTTCTATAGGGAAGGAGATTCTATCATTTTCTTTCCAGATCTCATATTTATCACCTCCGTCTGCCTCAAGGATACGATCATCGCCTCCTTCACGTAACAAAGGTTTATTCTTCTTTTTACCCTTTTCCTTGATTGCATATTTGTATCTAATAACTTTTTTTTCAAATTGAGCAAGTGGAATGCGAACCGGTTTCGACTCCCAGCATGAAGTAGGTTTGCCAGAAATTTTTTTTTCAGTGAGTTTAATTGTGAGTTTCTCCCAATCTCCTAATTCTGTTATATTACCAACAACATCTAAATGATCAAATCAGAAAGAAAAATAAATATACATCTTAAAAAAAAAAAAAAAAAAAAATTATAATGTAAAACTTACATGGTGTTCCAATATCATGGATTTTTGGCATATGAACATAAAACACAATTCTAACGTCATCGCCATTTTCTTTCGGAAGAACCTTTTCAATCAACTTAACAATATTTGTAATCCCACTCGATTGCGAAGTGGACTTTCCATCTTGAACAGAATCTTGCTGCACACTTTTCCCAGTTGCATTTTTATTACTTTGAATAGAGTCATCATGTTTCAAGTCTTCATGCTCTACGCCCATATCAATAATTTTTTGCTGAACAGACTGTTCGCTTTGTAATGAAGTAAACTTATCAGACAAATTTTTTTGATTTTCATTATCTTGTTTATTTTGATCGTTATCGATGATAGAAGAGTGGACTTCCTCTTCATCCTCTTCATCCTCTTCATCGGTATCGTCGCAATCACTCTCAACAACATCATGTTCTACCTTCTTTTTTCCTTTTTGCTTAGAGAATTTAGTTTTGTCAACACTATCCATGTTTTCTTCAAAATTAACATCTTGATTAGCGTCGGTCTCGCTAAATTGTGGGTTAAAATTTTCATTATCATCGTGTTGAAGTACTGTGACATTATCACTTTCATTTACATTCTCTGGTTGAATTTTGTCTTTTTGATTTTTTGGCGAATCCACTAAAGTCTTACTTAATGCAACATTTTTTCGTAAGGACAAAATCTTGTTACTATTCTGACCATAATCATCTTGTCCCGACTTTACATTTTCAGCATGAAAATTGGTTTCAAAATGTTGGGTATTTTGAGAGTTAGAAGAATAATCAGATGGCTTTTCATTATCAAAACTTTGATCTACTTGATTCATTTGATTTGTTCTACTTGATAATAGATCTTTCATTCTATTTGATAACATATCTCTCGTAGGTGATAAATTGTTACCAGAAGATTCAGCAGATAATGAATTTTCAGTAAAATGGGAATTATCCTCATAATTTAAAGTATTAGAATAGGTATCTGATTGCTCATTTACAATATGATCTCTATCTTCATTTAAATCATTATTTCCATTATTCGGAAGCTTTTTTCCTTTTTTTGAACGTTTATTATTAGACCCATCTTCGTTATTAGGATAAGTTTCCGATGTTTCACATGATGTAATTGCAAAACTTTCCCTCTCTTCATTTAACTGATTATTTCCATTATCATTTAGCTCATGACTTAAAAAATTAGAATCAA